CCAGGGTCTCTTATTTATCTCAGCTATGCATTGTGGACATTTACCAGAGACGCTAAGTTATTCATGCTCTACTCTGGCATGATGGCTCCTTTGTCCTTGTATTTTCTCTGCTCAGTTTGGCATGTCCGAAATTCCCCTCAACGTGGCTGCGTGGTTGGGCAGACTTTCAGAGAAATCGCAGATTTTGTAACTATCAGTCATTCACCAAATATGACAGGGTAAGCACTTCCGTGTACCAGGCTCTACACTTTGTACGTGTGACTTCTTATTCCGTAGTTTACCTTTTTACACACAACACTTGCATGTAGATTCTTGCACACGACTCTAACAGGAAGTCATGTGGCCCTTTGAGATGGAAGATTCTCATTGGTTGAGCTGTTCAGTGACACTCATATTTTATTAATTCCTAAGCCTCAAGAATCCTATAAATAAAGCAGATTTTCCCTAGCTCATCTGTCAGGTGCGGCGGACCAAACCCTTGTTGCCAGAGCGAAATCTAACGTGTGGCAGTTGGACCCTTTCCAAGAGAAGTGCGATAGTAACCATTTTTATGGCGAAGAAATGTAACCATATAAATGCCCAGCTAACTTAGCTGGGACCAACGCGAGAGCAGTACGAACTAGGGTGCTAGTGAGAGTTGTAGCGGTCCGTCACCGCTATGTCTGAACCGATTGCCGGGCGAGACACCCCCGTGTCCCTCGCCATCCTTGTCCTGCTAACTAGCCCAGTCCTCCCCGTCTCTACGCTGAGCCAATGGTACATAGTGCGGCGATCTTATCATTGCGCTCATCACATTGCGGTCTGAGCAGCAGTGTGGTCGGTACATACTGGCACTGGCCCCGTCCAGCCCTTGCTAGTCACAGTGGTGGTCCGGGACAGCTCCCACCACGGCCGGGCCCGATGAGTGTAGCCTGGCTGTGCGATGCTACACACACATACCGTATACACTCCGTCCGACTTGCATTGTCCTGCCAAACTCTAGTTTACACACTGTAGTTACACTCATATACAACTTCGGCTCTCCATAACTTTTCCCTTTGCGTGTTGTATTATGTTAAGTTACACCTTCTTCAAACCCACATTAAACTTTGATGAAGAGAAGTGAGAGCAACTGTTCAGTCTGACTGTCACCACCTTTTAATACATGTAAATTGTTGACCCCAAATATCTCATTCGGTAGACACTAGTAAAGTCCATGCTACCATCGACTTGATATTTAGGGAACGCAACAGTACATTGCCGCAGTGTATAACAATGCTTGCTGGTGCATGATGCCAGGCTTGGGCTTTATGAATGGGATAAGTGTCAACACATTCATGTATAACACAAGGTTCAACATAAGACAAGGTTTTTTAGAGAGTCCCTTCGAGCTCGTATTACCTGTGTTCGACTATACATGCACTGTGCCTTTTGACTCATAGTGCCAATGGTAAACAATGATAACAATAGTACTAAATTAGTAAGCTTTGCAACCATGATTTGAACAACTGCCATTTTAAAAACCATTATGTTAACTGTGCAGACTGTTAAGCATAAACTGCTCTGCGCTGTGCAGAGTGTAGATCACAGACATACATGTATGTTCAGAGTGTAGATCACAGACTGCACTGTGCAGAGTGTGAAACAAAGACTGCAGTACATGCAGAGTGTGGATCACAGACTGCACTGTGCAGGTCACAGACTGCAGTACGTGCAAAGTGTAGAGTGTGGATCACAGACTGCAGTACAAGCAGCACTTAGATCAAAGACTGCACTCTGCAGAGTGTGGATCACAGACTGCACTCTGCAGAGTGTGGATCAC